TTTTTCCCCCATTTTTTTTTCTCAAGCTCTGGGAAAGCAGGTGAAGCAAGATCCAAATACAGGAATAAAGCATGTATATAACTGAGAGGAAAAGCAGAGATCATGTTAAGGCAAAAGACTTTTGCTGAAACATAATGATTTTTGCATCCCCCAAATGAAAAAACAATTATTTTTTTCCAGGCTTTTTATTTCCTCTTTCTCCTGTATTTCTTTGAAATACTTTTCAGATACTTTGAGTGGAAGCCTTTGGGAAGCGTGGAACAGCTGAATCCCCTCCCCACAAGCTAATCCCTTAGGTGAAATGACCTTTTTGAATATGGGGGGAGGGAAAGGCTTTGTAGTTCCTAGATATGGTATTTTGGAACAGAGGTATTTCTCTTCTCCAGCGATTTGAAATGCTTGCCGATAGCAACACACACAGTAATTTTTAAATTACTCCAGAAGATTATATTTCTTTCCATCTAGCATTGTCTTTATCATTGCACTCAGCTACAATTATTTTTTCTTTTTGTTTGTTAACCAAACTGTTTTCTCTTTTCCTGTCATTAACAGTAGGGGGTTTTTATTATTATTTTTTCCTCCCAGAGCAGAACTAGGGGAAGGAAGTGTGTAGACTTTTACTCCCTTAAACTATTACTTACTTGAAACCTTTATTTATTGTTTATAGTTTACATTAATAAGATTTGCTTGCATCTAACTGTTGTTATTTGGAAAAATACCTGCACTGCTTACCTCTCACTGTAATTTTACTGCTGATGATGCGTTACTGAAATGCTATTAACAGAGAGAGACCTGCACAAATGAAATAAGAGAGACTTTCACAGGAAATGTGTCTATACATATTTAATGGTGAATCCACTATCAAGGTGAATATTAAATTGGAATTAAGGCATGAAATACTTTATTTTTTCTTTTTACAGAATTTTGATAGCATTGTTGCTGATTAAAAATCATACCTTTTTTGTGTGTTAATAGTTGTTGTGATTCTGAGAATAATCTGTGCAAGCTTTCAAGAATGAGCTGTTGCTCAAAATTTCACTCTGATGTTGGCCTGAGGATTTTTTTTTTTCCTTGTAAATCATTTTCTTTAGGCCAGCATATTAAGTTTTGCAGTTGAAAAATCTTTGGTATATCTAAACTGTGCAATGCGAAACTATGTGATGGGAAGCCTGAAAACCAAACCATACTTAAATGCCACCAAACATAAGCTTTATCCTTTCCAGGACTTTCTGGGGCTCAGTAGCTGTAGGCTCCTATTTTGAAGTCATATGCTGGTCATATGCTTTTATCCTTCGAATCCGAGGAGTCCCAAGGCCCCAGATTCACGGCGAATTGAGCATACTCTTTTACTAGGGCTCTGCATTTGAGAAGTTAGCCTTGCAGTTTCTCTTCTGTGTCTTATAATAGTTAAATAAATGTTTTACTGAAGTTCCCAAATCAGTTGTTCTGTACTTGAATTTAGTTGCACTGGAAAATACAGAAATCTAAAAAACTGTCAGATAACTACTGAATTTGAGAGTTCGAGCATTAAGAAGGTCTCTTGTATGGTGTTTTGCCATCAAATCCTGAACTTCAGGAAGAAGAGTACAGGACAAGGGCTAAGACTTCCTTGGGCAACCTCAAGATTTGCACCCTCACAGGCAAATGAACTGATATTAATCAAAACATGCAGAAAACAGTGCTGCCTTCTGGGAGGGGAGGAGAAGCCTGGTTTAATGGTGAGGCTGTTGAGAAGTTGGTCATTGAGTAGTTCAGGGGTAGATTTGTGGGCTCTACATAGGCTGAGGATAGCCTCCTCTTGATAGTATCCGTCCATTTTGTGCAACTTTACTGTGAGCTAAGCTGATGGATTTTTGTTTGTTTTGCCCTATTTAAATGTTTATTGTTTAATTCCTGATTTTTTTCCCTTAATCCTAAATCGATGCCTTTCTCCCTCTGCACTGCTGATACAGAGTCCTTTTCCCTCCTTTGCAGTGGGTATGGTGCTTATTGGGCTATTTACTAACCTGCTCCAGCAAACTAAACTAGTAAGAGAACAATTTTGTTTTTCCCAGTTTGGTTCTTGGTGATTTCGTTGACTTGATTTGCCACAGTATATAAAGCACTAGAACTATGCAAGAGCAGTAGTAGAAGAGAATAGTGTGGTAAAAGGTAGTCATAGCACCAGTGTGGTAGAAGGTAGTCATAGCACCCTTGTTCCATAGTGATGTTTCTGAGAGGAGACATGGAGATGGCTTTCCTGCCTGTCAGCCTTAGTTCAGATATGCCATCATTCATAATACGTGACTTCAAAGCTCAGCACAAAAGCTTCTGCCCTGAGCATATAATGAAAATTTGAAGGTCCAAAAATGCTGGACATAAAATTTATTTTAGATTAAAATTATTACACTTAGTGCAAGTGATATCTTGAAACAACTGCTGTCTTTTGGATGTGAAAGGGGAACTACTATTGATCCTATGAATGCAGACAACAAGAGAGTAGTGTACATGGCTTCTTGTCCTATTGCAAGTGCAAGCCTAGGCTTGCGTAGCAGTTGTCAAATAAAGCACAGGTGATGTAATCCCTTTTTCATATTTGCAAAAATGTCTGGTAATATTTTGCCAGGTGCAGAGCAAAAAATCATCTGAATTCATGGGCATAACAGGCAGCTCATACCTATTAGATTCCAACTGTTAATGGCTTCAGTGTAAAATGGCATGTTTGCATGGGTTTATTTTCATATTGCTGGGCTCTTGCACTGGTGGGCCTAGATGTGATCTACTTTCTGTTCTTATTCCTAGAAGGGTTTCCTTTGAACATTTCTAGGAATTCTGAATAAATGAAGCTTCATTAACTGCTACCTCTTGACAGACCCTTTGACCTTGGGCAGTTTTGGCCTGCTTGCAGCTGGGAGATGTACAGGCAAGCCTACGCTTTCCCTGGAAATGGTTTAGCCCATTCTGCCAGGGTGCCATTTGCTCACAAACAGCATTCATGATCTTGCACATTAATGAAATCAAGAGTCTCAAAATAATTTCCTCTGTCAGATCATAACAAAGTAGCCATTAGTTGGAAATGCTCAGATTTTTTTTTTTTTTAAGAAAAGACTTTTAGAATTAACAAGGTCAAGTCAATCCTAACTATCAACTATTGTTTTATCAAGTACTTCCAGGTATGACAAATACTTTAAATCACAAAACCCTCTTGATTTTTTCTGTCTCCAAGACTGTAGGCGTTCTGCTTTGCATTGTAATAGTTATGGATGAGTTCATGGAATTTGTAATCAAGTCCAAAGGTTGTTTTTTAAAGAGAGTTGGTTTGTTACTTTCTGCAAGCTGTGAAGGCTTGAGAGGCATCATTAGCTGCTAGATCTCTACAGAGGAAGGTATAGGTCTGCAGTGCCTATGTGTGTGTATTCTACTGTAACATCATTATATGACTATTTCCCCCAGATTTACTCTAAAAATAATTATTTAAGAATGGGCCTTAATTTTAAATGAATCCCAATGGTCTGTTTCAACTTGAATTTCACTCGATGCATTTCAATGCACTATTTTTTTATGAATTTCAAGAATAAATAATATATGTAAGGGTGATCACTTAATCCAGATAATTCAGTCTTCTCTTTAAATTACTGCAAATTTCAAGGACAATTTTTCTTTCCAAAGTCCATATTAATGTACACTTGCATTTATGTGTTTATTACTATCTAAGAGTGCTTAATTTTTTTTTCTTTTTTTTTTTTAAATAAAAACTTGGTTGAAATTGTGGGAGGCACAGATATGTACAACTAACAGTACTGTTTCACAGCTGAATGAAGATGGTCAGAAGAACCCGGCTACTTTGTTTTACGAAGTCAGATGGGGACATGTTCTTTCAGTAGCTGCTCAGAAATTAAAAGAATCTGTAGGAGCAACTGTTCTTCAGCAAGAAGAGCTTGCCGGCTTCACTCCACCAGAAGGGTTGGAGGTTTACTTTGGTGAAAATACTGAGATTTTCTGCTGATGCTTTATAGTCAGGAGGAAGACTGGTCTTGCAGGCCAGCTTGCTTAATTTATTTGTATTTACAATTTTACATATAGTAAATAGTCTCGATTATCCTTTGTGTAAAGGGCAATGAGGGAATTATTAGAAATAAGCTGATGTGTAAATGTGCAAAGATCATGGTATAGACTTTCATAATACCTGTAAAAGCTGATATTTTATGTAAAAGATGTAACTATTGTTTTCTTTAATTCAGAATGATGTGGGAATAGTTGTTTCTACAAATGATATTTTTTCTTGGCAAGAGTGTGTTTTTTTTTTTTTCTGGTGAAAGGGAGAAAAAGCTTAAGTGAATCCTCAGTTCTACCAGATTTGTGTGGTTGCTTCTAAGACAATCACAAGATGATGTTAGTAGCTATATCTGAAACAATCTCCTGTGTGTCTGTTACTATGTTGCAGCAACCAAAATAGCTTTATCTTTAGCTAGACCTGAGTGGATGCAGAAATGTAGCCTCACTATGGTTCCTAATAGAGTTTTAAGGCAGTCTAAATTCAGAGGTTTGAACGGTTCTATTTATTTCAACTGGTTCCTAACAACAAAACATTAAAATTACAATTCAGCTTTTAGTGATGTCACTTTTGAACCCTCGAGCAAGTATCTATTTATGTAACTTGCTGTCTAATGAACTGTACTCCTGCCAATGAAGGGAAAATTAAAAGGGAATATTTATAGTTTTTCAAGTTGATGTCCTTACATGTTTTTTAATTTCTACAAACAATTTACTTGCAGGATTGTAATCATATTGTATTTGTACATAAAATATTTCATGTTTTGCTAGATGTGTTATGGGATGTTTATTCCTTCAAAATTCTTGGTAAGGTGACTGATAATGTAACCACTGCTTGATGCCCTAACCTTATGTTCTTGGGAATGCAGTTATAACTGCATAACCAGAGTGCTAAATCACAGTAATATATTTATCTGGTGGTACTTGATGCTCATTACTTCTTCCTCTTCCTTCCTCCCCATTTGTAGGTCATTTTCAGGTGGTGGAGAATCTCTCTTAGGAATGAATGTCGTGAAGCAAGACCTGGAGAAATTAAAGAATCCCACGAGGATTTTTTGGATAATTCATCTCTTCAAAGTAAGATGATAAAATAATTACATATTTGCTGTGGTATATAATGAAATATTCCAGAAATATTTATCTGTAATTTTCAAAAAAAAAAATGAGACTTTTTACTTAACTCCTTTTGTACACAAATTTGCTAATATGAATTAATGAATGCATACTGGAAAATCAAAAAGGCATAATGGTAACTGTAAATATGGGATAAATCTCAGCAACCCAGATAGATTTGTTATAAGAAAATGACAGAGTTAGTAGTGACAGAAGAGACCAGAAAACAGTTTTTTCATTGCCAATAACTAAGTAACCCCTTGTAATGCTCTGTGCCGTACCAGTACAATTATCTTTATGGCCATGTCATGAGGCATGTTGGATTCCCATCTGACTTAACATCAGCAACATGAGAAGGGGTGGTGATGCAAAGAGTGTAACATGAGGATAGAAGAATGCAGCCAGAAGAAGAAAGGCAGTCAAAACACAGGTTTATAGGGCTGTCTTTCTAAGCCCAGAAATCTGGGATACAATAAGCTGCTGAAGACTCCTTGTTGATTTGAGGGGGTCGTAGTCAGGCAGCCTGTGTGTCACCATCGCGCTGAGTCAGTAGCTGCAGGAAGCAGCTGAGCTCTGAGCTGTGACCTGCTCTGAAATGGAGACCTGCGCAGCTGCACCTCAGGTGTTGGGCTGACATCTGAGACTACGTAGTGCTCACACACCTTGCTTTGGTGAACTTTTCTTGCAAGATGCATCCATATTCTAGTTATGGGCAGACCTATAAGTCCTTTGATTACAGATATGACTTCATATTTCTTCATGTTTTTATGATGATTTTTAAAGACATGTTACTTCCACATGATACAACATGGTCTTCCTCATAAACTGCTTTGGTAGGCATTATCTTGTTTACATCTAGGCGATGAGGAATGCTGTCCCAGTCAGTGAAGGCATCTTGGATGGTAGGACAGAAGGCAATGCTTTTTCCTTAAGGAAAATGTTTACTCTGGTTCCAAGAGTAAATACATCCCTTTCTTATGTAGAGATTGAAATAAACCAATTCAGGCTTGCAACTTGGTAAAATGTAACGCTTGCTTCAGCTAATGAGTAGTCTTCACAGGATTTTTTTTTTTCTTTTTTCCTCCCCTGGTGAGCTAATACATTTGGGATTTTTGTTTAGGGTGCATTTCTCAACCCCACTGTAACTTTTGAAATTGTCTGGATTTCAAGCAAATCTGAGTGAAATAAGCACAGCGTATTAGGCAGCAGGGTTGGGTGTGGAGGCTGCCAATGACTGCCCTGAGCACAGCCAGGGCCAGGAGGGCTTAAAAGAGCAGGCAAGGGAGACTGGAAGGGCCCAGGCTGTGGAAAAAGTCTGTGTGTCTCACACACACACACCCCAAAGCAAATCTTTAATTCCAGCAATTATACTTGTTTTGACTAGAAGCAATAGAAAACTGACTGCCTTGGGATCTTTGGATTTGGTTGGTGTTCAAAGAGTCTTTATATTATAGGTGTGGTGGGTTTTTTTTTGTTGTTTTTGTTTGTTTGTTTTTGCAATGGGTGTTTACAACCACTCTATTTGACAAGCAAAGAAGAGTTGCACCATCTCCTAGGTTGACAAATGTAATCATCTATTTTTAAAAACTTGGCCTTTCTAGGAAATAGTTTGTGTACTTTTCTTTTTTTTTTTTTTTTTTTTGCCAGCAGTTGCACTGAATTTATAGCTGAATTTTTAGCAATAGGTTTTAGTGGTTTTATATCCTAAATCTTAGGATTTTCCTCTCATAAAATAGTATTAAAATAATATTAAAATAGTATTAATATAATATTAATCTAATTTAACAGTGGACCATCTGTATTGGAATGCTTGGTATAATGGTTCAAAGAGTTAGATTATTGCTTACATACCTGGTTTTCTACCATTATCCTGTGTGTTTCTAGCAAACTGCAAATAAGATCTGCCTTCTTTTTCTTGAGAAATGTAATTTGTGGTTCTGGGGCTTCCTATCTCATTGGAGCTATGGAAAGTCCTTTCCTAACTTTTAGTTGTTTTTTTCCTTCTTCCAAAATCATGTTCCTTACACTGCACCGAGTTTCAGTTTAAAAAAAAAATACAATTGCTTTAATTCCAGGATAATGTTAAGATAAAGAATCGCATTACAAATATATATTTACTTATTTTTCAAAATTACATTCATGTTACTTCTGACTGTACCTCTAGCTGTTCTACACAAGGAATCAGATGCTTTTAACATCTCCTTTCAGCTCCTGTTACAGAAGCCATGCTACAGTTTCTCTAAGTATTCATAGATCTTTTTTTCCCCAAAATTTTCAAAAAATATATAGGCTAGAATAATACCCTTAGTATTCTTATTAAAATTTATGTCAAAGTAGAGTTCAAATACAATAACTCTCACTGGGCCCATGATTTGTTGCTAAAAATTGAGTGCACTCTTACAAGCTAAATGTTTATCTAGTATTAAGTATTAGTATTTCCTTTTCTCATTTCCTGGAATTGATTTTGGGGATTTTTATCATGACATGCTGGAGATTTCTACATAGAAAGTTTTGCAAAAACAGTGTTTAATTTATTTATAATGAGACAAGAAGAAATAGTTCCGCTGCAAATGAAACTTTCTATCAACATTCTCTACAGGCATCCATAGTATTCGGGAGAAAACTAAAGTAGTAAATATTTTTATTATAAACACAATTTACAGCTGTATACAGCCATGTCTGTTTCCATGTACTTGATTCTGCAATGATTTTTTTTTTGTTACTGATGAATGCCAGGTGCCGACCTAGATGTGCTGCATGCTGCTAAACATAAAAGCTTCTAAAATATTACTTCCATACCAATGGACAGAACATATTTGGCCCATTGAATACATTAATATGTGTTTTTAGTTATATACAGTTTTTAATTTTTGTCAACAAAGAGTGTTGCAGAATGCATAGAAAGAAAGTCACCTTTGTAGCATAAAATTTAACAGCAAAATAGTCTGAAATATGTGTCTCCCTTCTCCCCTCTTTCCCCTTTTTTTCTTTTTGGAAGTGAAGTAAGATTTTTTTTTTCCTATTGTGATTGAGAGGATAATTTATTGTGTATGTGTGTATAGCTAGATCTTCATTATGTTTTTTTCAAAGAATTTTTAAATTCATTAATGAATTAAGCTCATAATTAATTCATGATAGTGTAAGCTAGAGAAGAGATGTCTATTTACATTTCTAGATGATTAAACAAAAAGTACAGGTCATTCCTCACCATGCAGTACCCTTAAGGATAATAATCTTGGAGAGAACTTGGGAGTTCAATATCATGTCACAGATTACTGATGTATCTGCATCTAATGATGAACTAATATAGATACATATGCTTATATATTTATCAAAACACCCAAATCAGGTCACACTGTTGTATATTATTATTCATAGAAATAAATGGTCAACTCTCAAGAAAGCCTCGAGCAGCAGCAGATATTCGCATGGTAGTTTAATAATTCAGTCTGCATGTTATGAACATCGTTGTTATTCCTAGTGTGCCAGAGTTGGATCATTATTATCTACCAGTTTAAATTAGATCAGTCAGCAAATTTTTACTCAAGTATGCAGATCATTTTGGTAGTTATATAAGGAAACTGAGCAAAATAACCAACTATGTAGAGCAGGAATACTTGGAAAGCAACAAAACAAATGATAACCAAAACCAGGCTGTATATGAACTTGTAATATAGCACCAAAAAAAGTATTGGACCACTTTTGGAAAGACATGAAAGATTAGTAAGGTCTTTTAAATCATTAGGAATATTTGGAACAGAGAAGAGTCATTCAGAAATTAATCTTAACCGTGAAAACCTAGAATTTGGAAGTCTTCCAAACATATTAACATGAGATTGTCTTTTATAACTAATCTGGCAAAATATTTTGGAAGACAAACTGCTGCATAGGAATAGAATGTGATAAGTGACTTGGTTTACTCTCAGTTTACGTGATTGTGTTTATTTCTGTCTTTGTGATGGTAACAGGTACCAAAAAAATACACTGCAGTTGACTTAAAAAAAAAAAATCCTTTAGAAACATTTCATTATAAATAAAATAGCAATTCCAATAGCAATTATATACCTAGGTGATTATATTACTTTATTCTTGTTCAATAAGATGAAGTTTCAAAGTTTACCACTGATCCCTGATTAAAAGCATGTTGGATTGAATTAAAAATCCTACTTTGTAACGAATGAGTGTTTTTATTAAAGCATGTTGATAATACAGATGAATGAACTGAAGAAATATTGCTAAATTCAAAAGCACAAGTTCCCAGTTGAACATGGAAGCAGAAATAATCAGTTATATAAACAGAGGATGAGGAATATAGAAAATAATTTGGGGTTGTAATGGATCACAAAGTGGATGGCTCACGAAATGTGGCCGATAACTCTCTTCAGTTAAACCACTGAAGTTAATTTGAATCCACATAAGGCAAGAAGCAGAAGTGGAGGGCGTCCTTGCATTACAGCCGTTATTTTCCCTAAAGCATGCAACTGAATTGCTTTTCTGGTTGTTTATCCAACTTCCTCTTGAATATGTAGCACAACTTTAGGAAAAAAAAATCTGGACAAGTTTTAATTCAGATCTGCTGCTGTTTTTGTTTCTCAAATCAGACAAGTTTGCTCTATACTAGACAATGTAATTTAATTGTAGTCTAGCACTAGTCTGAGCACAAAGAAATATTATATATTATTAATGTTCAATATTAGATACTATATGTCTTCTTCCCCCACGTCCCCCTCCACCCCCCAAGAGATCATCCAAAATGTTTAGGAGTTTTTTTTTGTTTGTTTCTTTTTTATTATTATTATTATTTTGAAAATATGTATGAAAAATATAGGATTATTGGGAAGAAGTTTCAGGCTTTTATAAATCTGTTGTTTGTTTGAATTTTTTTTAATCACAGTTCAAATTGCTATAATATTTGGTGCCAAAGTTCTGGAACATGTTCTCAATCTGTGCCGAGGTAAATTTGACTTCCTGGAACGGCTTCCTGTCCCATTGCTCCTGTACATCATTTCCTTTCTGGAGCTCGAAGATATTGCCAGACTTTCTCAAGTTTCACACAGATTAAAAATGGTAAAGAAAAAAAAACACTAAAAACAAAACTTAAATTATTTTTAAATTTCTAAATTTTGCTGTGTAGCATGCTGTCTTGAATTCATCCCACATTTAACATAATCATTGTCTGCTTTACGAGTTTGTGGCTGTAGAGTAATCATCTCCATACAAACTACTGAATGTGTGTAACAAAAAGTATATCTTGGGTTGTTGGTCAGAAAAAAAACTCTGATTCTCCTGCTAACTTTTATTGTGTTATAAATGCAACTATCCAGGTAATCCTAATATAACTGACTGCTGGATGCTACACTTTCTTTTTTTTAATCTTTTTTTTTTACTTTTTTTTTTTTTTTTTTTTTGCTTGTGTGTGTGTGTGATGTTGGCACAAGAGCACCAAAAATTGCCAAGCTTCTGTTTTGTAGACTTTGCAGCAGAGAGCTTTAAGAAACAAAGGAGAAGAATGAAATGCATTTATGGGTGCCTGCTAGGAAACTTTCTAAGCACCAGGAATGTATAGGAAAGAGTATATGCGCTCAAGTGAAAATTTAACAAGCAGATAATGGAAGTTGGTGCTGCTGTGTGCTCAGAGCTAAGGGTAGCCTCTTGGTGCTGAGTGAGGGCTAAGAAATAGGGAATTGCCTGGAAGTCCTTTAAGGGTGAGGAAGGACCAAGCAGTAGGTGCAAGAAGAGAAAGTGACAGGATAACTGCAGTTGGAAGGGACCTTGGGAGTTGATCCTGCTCTTTGCAGAGTCAGCTGATTGGAAAGACAGGAGAAGATAACACATACTAAGCTATAATGAAGGAAAACTATTTTTGCAGCTGTGTGCTAAATACCTCAGAATTGCATTTTCTATTCCCGTTAGAGCAAGAGGAAAGATGTTGTGGTAACTCAGGTACAAATAAAGGAGTTTAGCTTATGAACAGTAGGATGATAAACGTATTAAAGAGAAACCTAGGAACCTAGAATGAAGTCTGTCAAGTTGTGGATTTTACAGATGCTTTTACAGTCACTGAAAAATTTAGTCTTTGGATCTAATGTGACAGCTAGATACTCACTGAATGGCTTCAAAGAGACAGACTAGCCTCTTAGTTTGGAGAACGGGATGTGTCTTTGATAGAGAGTACATCTCTGAATGATATATTGGAATGAGGCTACTCATACTGTTTGTATTACTTTGAGGCTAGGTAGCCCAAGATTTTAAGCAAGTTCTGCTGAAGATTGACAGTTGAAGAGGGCAAAGTTGTGCTGTCGTTGTTAAGGTTGGCCTACAAGATGTCATAAATACTTTGGTGATAGTTCAACTGAGGATAAGAAATAGAAAACATTCGCAGAGACTGAGAGTATAAGATGAGGTAGTTTGAGGGGTAGAAAACTTAGTTTAAATTAGTTAAAATTAGTTTAACACGCTGTCTTGGATATTCTGGTATTTAAGGAAATCCTTGAAAGAATTAAACTGCCTAACAATGAAGATAAAATTTGGCACAATGAAATATTCTGTTAAAGATAGTAACTAGAAATAATCTGTTATAACTAGTTAATGCCACGCTTTCCTATACTCCAGCAGTATTTTCTGAGATTAAAGGTGTTGTCCGAGTACTAAGAATTTTCATTGCTAGTCTAATTTATCTGTAGTTTGGAGTGCTATCATATAGGGGACTCTAATATGTTCATATTTTCAAATAGGGGCAAGTAGTATATTGAAGTATATTGAAGTTATATTAATATTCTAACCCATCTTGAACATTCAAAACAATAGAGAGAGCACTGAAGATGGGAAATGGAGGGAGGGAATTCTGGAGGTTTGTTCCCCTGTACACAGTGCCTGGGCAGCAGACGGGGCTGCTGGGCCGCCTCTCGCCTCCTTGCAGTTGGCAGAGTCCTGAGGAGCAGCTCCGGGAGCTGGGGAGCCGCCGCCGAGCCCCAGGGATGGGCAGTGATCTGGTGCAGTCTTAGTGCTCAGGGTTGAAAAGCAGGGTGTCAAAGGCACTGTCCTGTCCTGCACTGTGTGCCCATGTAAACTGAGCACAACAGAAATCTTTATTACACAAAGTGTGGCATTAGTGTTTCTCTCACTGTGCAGTACACATATTGAAGGGATCTGAATACACGGATTTTAAGCTTTTTATATTTTCATGGGATGCTGCTTTTAAATGTTACAAAAGAAGCTGTTTTTCAAAAAGAAACCATTGACAGACACTCTAACTTGGAGCTATGCAAGCATTGCATGTGCTTTTGAAGTACATTTTCAGCAAACTCTTACATTGTGATATCTTCCAATCCAAGTTTTGGTACAGGGTTCTCTTAGTTTGTATTGTTCAAGATCTTCAGATGCTCAAAAAAGGCAAAATTATTTTCAAATGACAAAAAAAGGAAAAAAAAAAAAAAAAAGTCTTTCTAGGCTCTAGAAGAAGCTGCTCCCGCCAGAGGGAGCCAAGTTCCCAACACAGAAGTGAGAAGGAGCCTTTCTGAGGCGGGCGGATGCCGGTGCCGTGTGCCCTGGCCGGGCCTGGTCCACCAGGCCTGCCCTCTCTGGAGTTACAGAAACTGAGCTGGTGCTGAGCAGGGGCCATTACTACAGAAATAAATATTTCTGTATTTTATAAATGTGATTAAATACATTGTATTTGGAAATACAATGATACTAAAAAACAGTTTCCGCTATGTTTGAGTTAATGCTCTCTGTTTTTCATAGGAACAGTAGAACCGCTAGGGAAAG